TTAAAAATCATTTACAGGATAAGGCCTACACTGGATAGGCCAGAATTTATTGCTCATCCTTAACTGCCCAAAGGGCTGTTCAGAATCAACCACACGGCTGGGGCTCTGGTGCCACATGGAGGCCAGGCCAGATAAGGATGGCATTCCTTCCCAAAGACAGTAAGGACATTTCAAGAGCAGGGATATTCTGCTGAGGCTGTATAAGGCTCTAGTCAGATGGCATTTGTAATATTAAGGGCAGTTTTGGGCCCCGTATATAAGAAATGATGTGTGGGCTTTGGAGGGAGTCCATAAGAGGTTTACAAGAATGGTCCTGGGGATGAAGGGCTTGTCATACAAGGAGCAGTTGAGGACTCCAGGTCTGTACTCAATGGAGTTCAGAAGGATCGGGGAAGATTTGTTTGCAACTTAGGGGGGCACTGAGAGGCGTGTTGATAGAGAGGGCGTGGAGAAGATGCTTCCACTAGTAGGAGAGACAAGGACCCAAGGGAACAGCCTCAAAACAAAGGAACAACCCTTTAGAACTGAGATGAGGGAGAACTTCTTCAGCCAGAGAACGTGAATCTGTGGAAATCATTTGCCACAGAGGGCTGTGGAGACAAGTCATTAAGAGTATTTAAGGCAGAGATACAAAGGTTCTTGATTGGCAAGGGGAATCGAATGGGTTTCAGGCAGAAGGCAGGAGAATGGGATTGAGAAACATGTCAGCCATGATCGAATCGCGGGGCAGACTCGATGGACTGAATGGGCTAATTCTGCTCCTGTATCTACTAGTCCAATGGACTAGAACACATACAGCACTGAGGAGGCTACCTACCTTGTGGACAAGAACAGAGATATTTCAGTGATATGAATATTGACTGTTGAAATGTAAAGAATCTTCAGGGTGGCTCTTTGAAGATATATTGCGGATGAGGCTTATTTTAATTTATCCTTCTATAGTGTAAAGACCGTTTCTTTCGGTTTTTGTGTAGATTTGATTATGCTGAAATGGGTAATGGCCAAGTTTTGTTGAAGGATAACTGCACTTATTCCAAGTACCCCCGTGAGATGACACATTTAGTTACAATAATTAATAGCATGTGGACTTCACTTTTTAAGGCAAGTAAAGACATTAAGTTCAATTGCAGACATGAACTTGACTTGAGTCAACCAAGTTTGTTCCTGGAAAGTTAAGTCGAGTTTGGGTAGTACTGTTGTCTCTATGGAAACAGTACGTAGCACATTCACACACTACATGTCCAAGTCAATATAGGTCTTGAAGATCAACATAAACTACCTCCCAATCTATTTACTTGATCTCGACACAACATTTCCTCCTATTCTTTTCTCATGTACTAATCTAGATTCCCCTGAACATACCTCTTTGTTTCAACTACTCCAGATTTGGAGTAAAGCAGTTTCAGCTAAATTACTTGTTGCAGTTATTCCTGACTTGCTTAAATTTATGCTGTTTTGGATTACTCTATTTTCTCTATGTGCTAAGATCAGGTTTACATTCAGGTGGGTGAACCTTACCAGGCATGACTCAATACAACTAATGCACAAAAGGTGAGAAAGGCTAGTTTTCTGGAACCCTACAAACCCAGGCTTCAGTTTGACGTTATCTTCCATCATGATGACTCAGTTCCAACATACATACCCAGAAGCTAGTCCTCGACAGGAGGTACAGCTAACACTTCACTTTAATCAGATTAAAGAAACATATTTTGCAGAGCTGTGAGGCCAACCCAGTCATCTCTATTCAAGGAAAATGACCATGACTGCCAGTGTCTAAATTTGAACTATGATTGGCCATATAGCCACTTGTCAACCAATCATGAAACAGAGGAGGATGGCTAGCAATGAAGAAACATTTGCTTTCATGCCAGGTGAAAGATTTTGGTCTCAATGCTTCAGTCAGTCTTGAGTATGCCTGACCGTGGCTGGATTCAGGTGCAGCAAACTGTGAATGAAGGTGATTTACAGGATACAGCATGATGATATCATTGCAAGTAGGTGCTATAATGCCGGTCTCGCTGTCACTACACAATCCCATGAAATGACAGGAGACGATATGACACTTATGTGAACATATAGAGCTTGGGAGGAAGAGCTAACTTCATACCTATTATTGTCAAAGTTCTCCCCCAGTTCGGACAGGTTCCTTGCCTAAGATTTGGGTTTATTGGGCTAAAAATTAATGGCTGCAGTCAGGTAAAAATTCCATCATTATTGTGACATGCAATAAGCAGCAGGCTAGAAGATGAACATGGTGTTGGCTCTTATGGCATAATATTAGTGTTTCTACCTCTGGGTCAGAAGGCCCAGGTTCAAGATTCACATGCCCCAGGTAGTGAATACGATTAGTGAAAGCATTCGCTGTGGCCTCATTGATAAAGGGATCGACTTCAATCAGGATGGTGGTGCTCACAGAAGATTACAAGTTTGATCTACGATCATTTAAGGGGGCCTTGCGGCACGGCGATAGCGTCTTACCTCCGAGCCAAAATATTCTGGTTCAAGTCCCACTAGCCGCAGAGTGAACAGATTCATTCAAAATAATTCGAACATGAACTTGATGAACAGTAGTTGTGCTTCGACATGCAAATGCTGTGTTTTGGTACCTATAAATCACTGAAATAACTGCGCAGGAGTCAGTATCCCATCACCAAGTCACCCTTTATTTTGTGTGTAACAGACCGGCTGTGGCCAACCAGCTCAGAGTCAATCCCCTGAAACGAGGAGATTCTAATCTCCTGGTTATATCCATCAGACAGGGCTTCCCGAATGGCCCCGGTTAACAGCAGCAGCCAAGGATCTCACAGTCAACAAGATCCAGCAGCTTTCAATCACCACAATCGCCTCATTGTCAGGATTGAAAAGCAATGGCTTTAGTGTTGAAACAAGTGGGTCCAGCACTATACATTCTGGAATGCAGCAGCAACCTTAAGTAAACTCCAATGCACCTGAGTAATGCTGAAGAGGTAACGGCAAGCCTGGGTCATGGGGAATGAAATGATAAAGACACACGGTCTCTAACTCTAAATATTTCAAATACAACGTGATAACAGAATTTAACATGGGTCTTTTCCAAGAGAAATTGATGACAGAAAAATGCTCCAATTTATGGCTTCTGCAATCATGAATCTTGAGCGTGGGGAGAAAAATCAAATATAAACGTGTTTCAGAATCTCAAATTGTGCTCTCCACCTTCTCTCTCTCTCGAAAACTGTAATGTGAATTAAGAGAGTGTCTTCGCCATTCTATCGCCCAAGATGCTTCACAGGAGTGTAATACAGCAATATGACAAAATAAGTCATAATTACTCAAAGAAAGCCAGGCAATGTAGAGTCATTGATATGAAAGACCAAGGCTAAAATCTAAGCAGCAGTAAACTCAAATTACAGAATGCATCAAAAAAAGACAACCTCAGTTTTGTCTGCAAAATGTCAAAAAGTACTGTCAAACTTAAATGACTTGAGCTGAAATAATGAGAGACAGGGTAGTTTCAGTTAAGTTACTGAATAAATGATTCTGATCGTATCATGAAGGATCTAACATGAACAGCGTGGCACTGACAGTGAGCAAACAGCTTTGCCAAAAGTGAGCAAACAAATGTTGGGGGGAGAAAAAAGACAAGCCCAAATTCCACTATCCACATTTCCATACTGTGTCAAATCGTCCAAACGCCATCAGTTTCATCCACAAATTCTCTGAAACCCAGATCAACAGGGTTCAGACAGCCAATAGAAGGTCATTTATAGAGGGGTTTACAATTTAAATTACCATGAAACTAAGGATGCTACTCTGCTCTCACTGGGTCTGGCAAGGAAGATGGCAGGGGACAAACAGTTGGTCGGGATGGCCCTGGAGATAGATTTCCAACCACTTCTTGCCAACTCAATTGTGTGTTGGTCAAAAAGGCCCAACGGGGACCTTGGGCTGGCCACCAATTAAACATCGCAAGTGACCAAGTGATGGCACTTAATGGCCTCAACTCACTGACAGCCAAGAACTGGGAAACCAGATGACCTGCACAATGGGTTGGGGCTGTGGCCACTATGTCTCCCAGTCCAGCACCAGTGGGGAAGAGTATTGGGGGGTTAGAGAGAAATCAAACGAGTGGCCACTCAAGGCCATTCCCTTGATCCTGTCTCCGACCCACTGGAACCCCCAGCAGCTGTCACTCCAACCTCAGAAGGCCCCAAACGAAAAGCACTTGGCACCAGTTAGAACCGTGAGGCCTTGTGTGTCAGCAATGATCTTGAAGACCCAGAAGTTGCCGGTTGCTGAGCAATGCAGGACGTCAGCCGAGGGGCTTGCGGCTGGCTCAGAGGCTTGCTTGTCACCGTTAAGTGTATGAGTGGAGCTTGACCAGTCAGCACCACACCTTGAAGTGGCAGGGAGTGAGGAAATTCACCCAGCTGCACACGTGGTGCACACAGCACAACATGTTAGCCAAAATACTGAATCTCACAAACTACAGAGACTCCATATAGCCCAGATAAAACAGACAGGGAGACTGATAAGATGATGAATGGAAACAAGACGCATGACACAACATTAACAGTTGAGAAGAAAGAATTCAGGGGACAGACACGGAAAGAGAAGAGAAAAAAACAGATAATGAGAGATGAATGGACAGCAAGTGGGAGAGAGGAGAGATGTGTGGGAGAAAAGTGACACAGTGGGTAGGGAAGGGACATGGAGACACATGGTGAGCAAGGGGGCACAGAGGTATAGAAGGTGGAAATGGAAAGGAGAGCGGGGAGGAACAGACTGCAGTGAAGGAGGGACAGAAAGTACGGGTGAGCTGTGCGTGGGGAGTGGAAAGTGTGGGAAGACGAAGAATGGGTTTGAGTAAGCATTGTGTCTGGGGGGTAGGCAGTGTGCGCATGGGAGAGATTTGGGGACTGAGCAAGAATGAGCAAGGATGAACAGGACAACAGAGGTTTTCAACTGAAATACGAACAAAATGCTAACCAATCTCAAAGCAGAGCTGCTGAATATGACCATACCTGACCTCCAGCTGGTTGGAATCTGGACAGTACAGAGGTCATCTGAGGACTCATCCGTTGATGTGCCAATGAAGTCAAAGTTGAGGCAGTTGTGAGCCAGTTTGAGAAGCTGCATGAGAAGCCCATGCTGGCTTTCATCATTCAGATTGAAGCTTTTTCCAGATGCCTGCAACAACGTGCACACCATTAGTTACTGATCCAATCAACAGGCACTGTTCAAACTAAGTGTTCGGCTTTGACATTTTCACAGTCGCGTCAATGGCATTTCACCATATTTCAAGGCATCACATTTTCTGCTCAGCCTCCTGAACTGGGAGAAACTGTCATCTCGAACTACAAAGTTACACTGTCTTGTCCAGTCAGCTCATTAATCTAACACTTTCTGGTATCATACACCTATCCACAATAGATGTGTTTTATTTCTAAAGTAGTAATGGAGCAAAGAGTGCTTCAACTGTCAGCTTTTCCACGATGTTTGGGCAAATGTTACGAAATGACAGTGACACTCCATTTGGAGCCTACTATTTCTGGCTGACAGCACTCCTGACTTTAGGAAAAGGCCCAGGAGAGTGAGGTGGGCAAATGATACTAAGCACTGGGTGCATGCTCTTTGGCCAAATAACACAACACAAAATGCAAAGGGATAAAGAGTACATTTATCCAAAATGCCAAGAGAACTTTAATCAAAGGGTTGTTGAACGGGAAAACACTCATGCCCGAAAACAGAACTGTCAGAATCTCTGAGGGGAGGCTCCTCCTATCAGAGGATACTTCTATGCTGTGGCTGCTACTGACAAACTCACTCGCTAACCTACGAACAGAGTGGAGCAAGGCATGCACGTGGCAAGAGAAAAGGGAGACTGTAAAGGGAACAATAGTTTTAAATGGCAGGTGAAGGAATACTCAGCTGATGAGGGGTCAGGTAAACTTAGGCAATCAGTCCCTTGCAAATGAACATAGAATCTCTCGCTCAAAGTGACCAAAGTTCAGGAGTTATTATATGGAATGAAATACAGTGGACGAACTTGCATTAAACACTGCCAATTATTACTTTAAAGCAGAGGCTGAATCTGACATGAAAAGGGTATGTAGTGCTTAATTAAAAACTTGGAGCAAATGTATGCGCACAGATAACACACTGGTTTTCACCTCACCAATCTGAAATGTGTATTTAGGATGATGGTTTTGTGTACAATTTATATAGATGATTTGGAGTTGGGGACCACGTGTAGGGTGTCAAAGTTTGCAGATGACACTAAGATGAGTGGCAAAGCAAAGTGTGCAGAGGACTGTGAAACTTTGCAGAGGAACATAGATACATTGAGTGAGTGGGCAAAGGTCTGGCAGATGGAATACAATGTAAATAAATGTGAAGTCATACATTTTGGTAGGAGTAATAGTAAAAAGGATTATTACTTGAATGGTAAAAAGTTGCAGCATGCTGCTATGCAGAGGGACCTGGGTGTCCTTGTGCATGAATCACAGAAGGTCGGTTTGCAGGTACAACAAGTAATTAGGAAGGCAAATGGAATTTTGTCCTTCATTGCTAAAGGGATTGAGATTAAAAGCAGAGAGGTTATGTTGCAGCTGTACAAGGTGCTGGTGAGGCCATACCTGGACTACTGTGCGCAGTTTTGGTCTCCTTACTTGAGAAAGGATGTACTGGCACTGGAGGGGGTGCAAAGGAGGTTCACTAGGTTGATTCCGGAGTTGAGGGGGTTGGCTTATGAGGAGAGACTAAGTAGATTGGGATTATATTCATTGGAATTCAGAAGATTGAGGGGGTTCTTATAGAAACATATAAAATAATGAAGGGAATAGATGAGATAGAAGTAGAAAGGATGTTTCCACTGGCAGGTGAAGCTAGGACAAGAGGGCATAGCCTCAAGATTAGAGGGAGCAGATTTAGGACTGAACTGAGAAGGAATTTCTTCACCCAGAGGGTTGTTAATCTATGGAATTCCTTGCCCAGTGAAGTAGTTGACTCTACTTCAGTAAACGTTTTCAAAAAAAAAAAAAGATTTTTTTTGAACAATAAAGAAATTAAGGGATACGGTGAGAACGCGGGTAAGTGGATCCGAGTCCACGAAAGGATCAGCCAGGATCTTACTGAATGGCGGAGCAGGCTCAAAGGGCCAGTCGGCCTACTTCTGCTCCTAGTTCTTATGTACAAGGAAGTGTGTGACAGTTATTTTGAAGTAACTTCTATTGTTCACTTAAACCTCTGATTAAGGAGGATAATATTTGCTGTACTGTGGTTGCTGAGTTTAATGGAGGGTTAGTAATTATTTAGGACATTGAGTCCAACTCCCAGTTAATGAACACCATTAAACATGGTATTGTTACGACAAGAATCTATCACCCAATGGAGCAGTATGTGACAATGACGAGGTTGTTCCCTCAAAATGTAAAAGTACTGTCCAGAAAAATGAATTGTTCACAATTCAAAAGGATGTTGGGGGATGGGGTAAAAGCGAATAAAGACTGGTAGAAAAGAGATGCACCAAGCCCCATGGCACAGGAGAGATGAGCAAAGGGGAATAAAGGCAAGGGGCAGGATGGGAGTACAAAGAACTGTATTCCTTTGTTTTTGCTTCCGAGGTCATTTACGAATATCACCAAGTTGTCTTTGGACAGAAGACTACCTACATGCACAGCAGTGTCACCTACAGGGTCACTGGATCATTTCAAAATTTGGTTAACAATCCACAATGCAGCCTGATGGCCAGTAAAATGTAAAACATTTACCTGCTTTAGTAAATTGCACGAGAGTGTGAAGATATCAAATAGTGATGTGTCTCTAAATGACGATGCAATTTTCCTATGTTTTGTCAGCGGATGTGTAGTGTCAGCCTATCGAAAAAGATACAAAATCATTCACCATGTATCACCTACACTTCAAACAGCGAGATAATATAACGCTTGATGAATCATTAAAAGTAACAACGCATGTTAACAAGGCTTTGTTAAATGTGAACAAAGCATTGAGGTTCATTGATGGAACACAAGTAATATGCAGAAAGGTTATAAGCAACTTCTATGGAAATCTGGTTGCAGCACACTATACAAGTGCTTTCAATGCTTGTCTCCACGTTAGAAAGCAATACACAGAAGTATTGGAGAATTGCAAAACTTGAACAAGGATGTCATCACCACTGAGAGCTTATATCATGAAAAACAATAGCCTGGGCCCCTTTTCTTCAGAAAGCTGAGGGATGACTTCATGAAGGTGTCCGAAATTGTGAAGGGGCACAGGGAAGATGGATGATGCTGAAATCAGGGGTCATATTTCAATATCCCTAATGGTGGAGAATGCGTTTTATCAGCTTGTCCGAGGGACACCATCTTCTGTTTTGCTGATGCTCCAAATTCCATGATTGGCTGGACATGTGCACTGAGGAGCCAGCTAAAAATGGATACTGGACAGGCCAATCACTAGTCTTTAAATAATTCAGAACGTACACATTTTCATCTTTTTATCATTGTTTGAAGGGGGTGAGGATCTTTACGCCAAAAGGCTGAGACCTCATCAAGAGTTTGACAAGTGCAAAGGAATTTGATACAGTGAACAGTGGGAAGGGGCAATCAGCAGGAGGGAACGGGAAGGCGGTTGGAAACCTTGCATGGTGATAAGCACAGATGCACTTTTGAATGGGCAAAGAGCCTGTTTCTGTGCAGCAATGCTTTAGTATTAGTATTTAACAGCAAACTCAGACTCTTCAAGACAAACAAATCATTGCATTGTTAATTGACAAAGAATCCACCACAGATCTAGCGAAAAGACCGAGGGAAAAGTACAGATAAAGAAAGTTCTGGAAAGAAAGGATCAAATATTTCATTCCTAATGATAACAACAGAAATTTGGATCAACCAACAATGCCATTGTTCACACAATTCCCATACTTCCTTGACCATGATCAATGTATTCTTTGAGTAAACCTGTTTGGTTCAAATGTGAAAACAACCCATAACAGTATGCTCCTCGGCCCATTGTACAAGTGGTTGCATATGGTTATACAACAAACATCCATTCCACCAGACCTGGATCAAATGCTTCATCCCAACTCATCTTGTGACTTTTGAATCACTGGACAAGAACCATGATCGGCAAGGAAGGAAGAAAAATGCTGAGAGCAGAATATAATGGGCACTCAATACCAAACATTGCAAGTGATGAAGTAGAAATAAATGATAAAAATCAGACACTTACTTCTATGAATGAACTTACTTGGTTTATTTCATTGGTTAATTGAGAAAGAATCATTACTCCTATAATACAGTGCTCAACACTGTCCTGGGGAGAGAAAACACAGAAAATGTGCTCGTTTACTTCTTCTTCATATAATATTGCCAGATCACATGAACCGTAATTAACATCTGATTTGTTATCCTCCAGGATTCTCGGGCTCACATAAATGGCCATCTCTGCCTCGACCAGATGGAAGCTAGAATGAAGTGTTAATCAAGTTCATGTGGGAGGATGTGTGATAAAGATGTCAGGTCAACCCAGTATTCCAATGGGGTTCCTGACCATTAGGGATAGGAAACAGCCTCATGGTATTGCTACTGAATTGAGTAATCCTAAGACCCAGGTAATGTTCTGGGTCTCTGGGTTTGAATCCCACCACAACAGATTGAATTAGAATTCAACAGACAACATCTAGCCAAGTCTAATCATGACCAAGAAACGACTCATAAAAACCCACCAGATTCACTGATGCCCCTCGAGAAAGGGACTGCTGCCCTTACCTGTTCTGGCCTGCACATGACTCATGACCCACAGGGAAATGGTTGATGTTTAGCTGAGTGGAGAATCTAAGGACGCAATATTTAGTCGGCTGGATCAGCCACAATGCCCATGTCTCACGACAGAATGAGACAAAATAAAAGTTCTGTTCCACTTGTAAGCTTTGTTACAATGGTCAAGATAAACAGGTGAAGACTATCCAAGGCAGTGTCCCTACTTGACCATAACTTCACATAAACCCTGCCTCAGCCTAGCCCACATGCGCAGGCCTCACAGCAGAGCAAAAAGGGAGAAACTATTTCTGAGACAAGAACTGCCTTCACTAAAAAGAGAGTGTTGTGAATCTGCAAAATTCTCCATTCTCGAGGGCTGCAGATGCTCTCTTAAATGAACGTTTTAAAGGCTGGAAGAAACAAACTTTCAATCTCTCAAGGAATCAGGAATATTGAAAGTTCAACCAAAAGATGATCGAAGATCACAGTGAATGATGCAGCTGGATTCAGGGGCCGAAGAACTTCCTCCTGCTTCCATTTTTCCGTCTCCACTAGTAGGAGGGGGAGAGGTGACAGACTGACAACTGTGGACAAGAAAATCAGGGGCAGAAGCAAACATTTCGTCACAAAGGCAACTTCACCTGAAGAAACAGCGCTCCAAAAGCTTGTGATTCCAAATAAACCTGTTGGACTAGAGCCTGGTGTCGTGTGATTTCTGACCTTGTCCACCCCAGTCCAACACTGGCACCTCCACATCATTGGTCAGAAGTCACATTCTAACTCTAAAGCACTGAAGTTGCAACATACGAAGGAACTCAGCAGAGAAACAAACTAAGTTCATTCGATCTGGCGTCTGAATTAGACCATGATTAATCATTATCATTGACCATCGTTGGTTCCATATTTCTCATGATTAATCATGGCACAGCAATTAAACGTGGGACCCTTCAGATGACCATACAATGTATGAGTAGAAGTAGTCCAGCTGCTCCACCATTCAGTGGCTTGATAATCCTCAACTCCACTTTCCTGCCTTTTCTCCCATAATCCTGGGCTCCCTCACTGATGAAAAATGTCTCAACCTGAAATATGCTTGATAACCCAGCTCTGCTACAAAAATTCCAAAGACATGTGACCCTCAGAGAAGAAATTCCTCCTCATCTCTCGCTTAAATGTACTACTTTTAATTCTGGCATCATGCTCTCTGGTCCTAGACTTTCCCACAAAGGGAAACAATGGTTCTGCATCTACCCTGTGAAGTCGCCCAAGAATCTTTTATGTTTGAATGAGATCGCCTCTCATTTTCCTACATTCCAACAATTACAAGTCTGACCGACTTAAGCTCTCTTTATAAGACAGTGTCTCCATATCATGGATCAGCCGAGTGTACCTCCTCTGGACAGTCTCTACTGCCAACATATCTTTCCATAGCGAAGGGGCTCAAAACTGTCCTCAGTATTCTAGCTGTGGGCTGAAAAGTGTTTAGCTAAACTCTATTTCCTTTGAAATAAAGGCCAACATTCCTTTTGCCTTCCCCATTAGCTTGTGAACTGGGACACTAGCTTTTTGTGATTCATGGACAACGACTTGGAACTGCATCTGTGCTGTAGCTTTCCGCAGTCTTTCTCCACTTAAATAATATTCAGCTCCTCTACGCCTCACGCCAGTTTGTAACATCACACTTTACCACCTTATATTTTGTTTGTGAACTTACTGTCCACTCACTTAACCTGTCTGGATCCTTCTGCAGACTCTGTGTTGACAGAGCTCAGGAGACTGCCTTCACCTACTGAGCTGTGGAAGAGCATCAGATGAACATGAACTTTTTTCTGCAATGGTTGCTTCTGGAAAGAAATGCATGCATTCCAGATAATTAGCACAGAAAACGTCAAAACAAACTTCAAATGCAGCTTTGTGAATGAACGCTGACCCAAATAAAGCTCTGTTAGGAACAAGACGACATTTGCCTACCTGCAAGAATCGCGTGACATCTGCAATGACATTCCTGAACACGTACTCATCCTTCTGGCAGTCGAACCAGCCCAGTTTGGTGATTCTAGCAAACAGCTGGATGAGAGCCTGCGTTACAAAGTTTGCCAGCTTGGGCCTAGTTGCCAAGTAATTCAAGACATAGTTTCCTTTTACCAAGGGAAAAAGGGAAAGCAAATTAAATGGTGCAACATCCTTGAAAAGACACAGTGAATGCACCCAATTTTAAAAACAAATCTGTATCTGTAAATGTCCTTGGACAATTTGAAGCGATCTCCTGCTTGACAAACTTATGAACTACTTCAGTTTTTTTAAAAGCAGGAGGGTTCTTTCTTGTAGGAAACACAACAGCCAATTTGTACAATGCGAGTTCAAATCAACAGCAACAAATTCAACGATCAGATCATCTGCTGACCAACGTTGACTGAACGATAAATATTGGCCAGGCCACCACAAAGGATGCCCCACTCTTCTTTGAAATAGTGTCAAGGCATATTTAATATATCGCAGCCAAAAGGTAGCACCACCTACATTGCAGTACACCCCATTAGCACTTCACTGCAAAATTAGCTTAAATGTTTGGAGCTCGGGGGTCTGGAATGAAGAAGTGAAGGTGTCCAGTGCTCCAAAGCTAACTTTCGAAGTGAGGTCACTGGTACTTAGTCCACAAAAGTAATGTCAAAGTTCACAGCAAGGTACCACAAATAAATGATCAGCTAGTCTGCCATGTTTACCAAGTGAAGGCTAAATTCAAGTCAGGAATCTTAAACACTTTTTCTCTCGGAATCAAATTACATCACGAAACCTTGCAAATGGAGCCATTGATTAATATCATGTCTGAAAGGCACATATCAAAAAGCTCAGGATTTGGTTTCATATTTTAATGAAATACCAATACATTTGATGCTAAGTTAAATATCAGTACTCAGAGATCTAAATAGCGTGCTGGTATTTGCAAAGAGCTTTCACAAGCGTATCATTATTTATAAAGACTACGCAGGACTCTGTGTTTGCAAGCTCCCAGGATTGAGAGAGGAGCAGAGGGTACCCATAGGTACGTTGTATTTAAAGAGGGTCACCCCAAAAGCATCTCTGTATTTGTCAAATCTGCCTAATGCTTATCACCTGTGCAAAACTGTCTCAGTATGTGAATGAAGTCCCCAGAAGTTTGCAGAGTACCCAAGAGTATATCATTATTTATGCAAGAACCCAGAATATCAATGTTAGCAAGGAGACATGTTCAGGACATCAGCATGGGCAAGTTGCCTCAGAAGAGTATAATAATGATTCAGCCTTCAAACACATCAGATACATGAGTCACACATCATCGGTTCCCACACCATTCCAAGCAGAAAAGTCTGAAATTCGCAATAACATTAAGGGGCTCCTTTGCACCCCTTATCAAAGCTCAGCGGGAAAATAAAAAGTCATACTTACGTATGTCAGTGCGTTGTTCTAAAGGCAAGGGGTTATTCGTTCGTGACACAAGCTTTGTAAGACAGGTTGCCGCCAACAACTGTGAATATGACGACTGTGGAATAATAACAACATTAAGACCGCAGTTCTGGAGAAATTCACATCTGCAGCAAACAACAAATACTTTGTAGCCCATCGCTGACAAGTAGTGAGATTTGCTAGATCCAGGTTGTCACCGCATCCCACCCCCAAACCCCAGGAATTAAAAGATTTCTGCAATATTGACAGCTCAGAGCAGAAAAACTGATACGTACAACTTAAGATTTCATTTCATTTCACTAATCACATGACCTTCAAACCATGACACAAGTGTTTATTTGTGCCCACAGAAACATAAGCACAACATGCAAATGTGACTTTTAGTTTTATGCCTGATCCCAAGTTCCGTGACAGCCTGCAGCAGAAAATCTGATGACACTCTTGATTTAATTACTCACTACCACTGCTTATGCACTGGGATATATACTGCAGTGCAGCATGATATTGTGTTAACATCACTGAAACAGACTATTCATCCCATGATAGTCTTCATCTTTTCCAAGAGCTCCTCCAAATGTTCTTAATGTAAACTCACCGACAAGTTTTTCTTCGTCATTGAGTTAGATAGCTGCACCTTCAAGGTATATGCACAACTTGCCTCAACTTGGAGTAAAGGAGTTTCTCCTGCACACTCTATTGTATTTAGAGTGACAATCTTGACTTTTATAATCCTTTCCGTGTTTTTACTCTCACAGTGAAACATAGCCTATCCTATCTAAATCTTGGCAGGATTGCCTCAGGAGGAGAGGCTAAACCAAGTGGCCTGTATTCTTTAGAGTTTCAAAGAATGAGAGGTGGCCATAAGAGGTAAAAGTTCAAGTTGTCCATTCATTCTATCAGCTCTGCAGTGGAATGAGATCACAACTGATTTAATAACCCTCAGCTTGACTTTGCTGCTTTCTCGCCATTATCCTCGATTGCGTTACTGATTAAAAATCGGTCTACTTCAGCCTTGAAATACTGAATGAACCACCCTCAACAGTCCCCCATGGCATTTCACTGAAGCATTCCAAATTCGTGCAGATTGCAACAGGGTGGATGCAGTTAACACGTTTCTTTCCTGCAATGAGTTTAGAACCAAGGAGCGCAGACTCAGAATAACGGGCAAGCCATTTAACACTGAGATGACGAGGAATTTCTTCCTTCAAGGAGTGGTGGTTCTTGGATTGTCAACCCCAGAGAGCTGTGGAAGCTCAACCTCTGAAGACAATTGCTGAAATCAATTCATTTCTGAAGACTAGCAAGGTCAAGGAAGAAAGCCCAGTAACATGGCACTGACACAGATGATCAGCCAGGATCTAAATGAAGGGCAGAGTAAGCTCGGTGACCGAATGGCCTAATGCTGCTGCTAGTTGTTTTGCTTTTATACCCTTAAAGGCATACAGCAGATCACCTCCGTTTCTCCCTCAGTTCAAGGAGTCATCCCAGCCAGATGAATCTTCCTTGTTGGGCACAACATCTCAGGTATTATTTTCTCAATTGTTTTTATACCTCCTCTAGTCTCTATCTTTTTTATATAATTAAAACCAATCCAAGTGACTTGGATATGATGCTGCCACATAGCAAAATGAACAGTCTATCTCAGCTATTTGGCTCTATCCTTACCGCTCTGAAAACCAATGCATCTACAGGAAGGAGAGGTGATAAAACGAATCCACCTATCGCTCGGGAAGATGAAAAACTTGCAAGGTCACAGACGTTTCATATCAGACAAAGTGCATTTTCAGTTCAATACAACAAACCACAAACTCACTCAAGTACCAAATTCCAACACTGCAAATTACACTGGCCTTTTGAGTGCAAGTCAAAGAAATACGCATCACAGTCAAACAAACAACACTGTGAAATTACTGAAATCTGATTGAATCAGACCAGTAAGTATTCCAATCACCCTTCATCTATCAGATTGCACAATAAGTTTCAATGTTGAATGGACAGGAACTGCTAAATGACTGAGGTGCTAACATCCCACAACACTTTAAAATTTCAACCTGTACTCAGAATCCCTCAGGCCAGGATAACAAACTTTCAGAACCAAATATACAAGCCATCTTTGCAATGATTTTCCTGGTGGGTAGGAGTTCTTGTTCATCACTTAACTCGTTCAAAGTAAGTGGCTCAAGTGGAGCGGGGACGGCCAGTGGGCCCGCGCGCAGCAGGGGTCGGCCAATGTACCCACAACAGGGATGGTTGTTGGACTGGGGACTGGTACGGACAGTCAGCAGTTTACGAGCCCAGTCAGACCATGTATGGAAGGCCCCCATGTTAATCTACTGCAGGCCCCTCATAGAAAGGCTGTAATGTTTATTTTTTAAACTTTATTTCTTATTTTTCGATTGTGTCACATGAATAACTATAAGGTAATGTAACTTTTTTGCCTTATTTCTCGAATTTGTATCTAACATTTGTACCTAGGTACTCAGTACCTAAGCTGGCACTGTGCAGAGCAACATTGTAAACTTGCGTACAGGTGACAATAACACAAATTCTAATTGTAATAAAGTAAGGGCAACCTTCACAAAACCAAAAACCAAAATCCATTTTAAAACTCATGTTTCCAAATAAGAACAGAGTCCTCTTAACATTGAATATTAGCACACCCATGTCACTCTTAAGATCAAGATTTGAAAATTCCATGCCAAAGTATCCCGTTCTTCCCTACCTATGATTCAAGTGAACAGGTGAATACCTGCCTCCATTCCACTCCATCATTTTCTATTCAATGAGTTACACACTCCAACACATGAATAAATTTGCCACAAACTCAATTTCCCTTTTGTAAAACCACTAAGTTTGTAAGTTCAGTCATTTGATCATCCTGATTTCTTCTTGAAAAGTTCTTCGAGACTTCCTTAATAACAGATCAAAGCAGTTTACCAAGCCACAAATTTTTTAAAAAAGTGTGCTTGGCCCATTTCACAAACCAAATCTCCTGATATTACTTCAGAATACCATGCCATTTGAATTCCCACAAAATGGTACTTACACTTCCTCTTTCCAACAGCAATTGGCATCTGCTCAGACAGTCTGGGCTGTTGGTGAACTCAACCAGGGCCTTTTCTGCCTGCAGGCGGGTCGATGTGTCAGTAGTTTCATAGAGCTGTTTGCACAGTATCTCTAGTTGGGCTAAGCTCTGCAATGAGAAATTAAATATTGACAATTGAAACACACACGCAATATTAGAATTTACAGCTTTCTGGATTCTATCTACACTAAGAAATAACGAAGACTTGCAGTCAAATACTAGCTTTCACAACCTCGGGATGTCTCAAAGCACTGCATAGCTAACCAAGTGAGTGCAACCAGCAGCACACTAGCACCTGAATCATAAGGCTCCAGGTTCCACTCCTTCTCCAGCATCCGAGTACAAAAATCGAGGTGGGAACTCCATTACAGAAGAGAGGAACTAAAAGGTGCTATCTCTGACCTCAAAACTTGGTCTTATCTGCCTGTTCAGGGAGATGAAAGATCTGATGACAACAGTTTGAAGAAGCTCAGTGAGGTTATCCCAATATACGGGCCAATACCTTTCCCTCAGACGAAACAGATCAAGTCAGTTTCATCCTTTTGTTTGTGGGAGACTGCAAAGCAACTATTGGCAATGTGTTTCCTACAATAGGAACAATATTTCAACAATTACCTCATTGGTTGCAAAACGCTTCCACAAGTCCAGTGGTTATGAGAAATGCAACTGTTTATTTTGTTTTTGTATTCACCATCAGAGACAACAGCTAACTTCTCGCAAGCACCCACAAACAGCCATGTGATTAAGACCAAATTAGATCATTTGCTTTGAATGACATTGACTGAAGGATAATTATTGGCCTGGACATTGTAGAGAAGAAATTTGGATTGAGGTCACACTCAAGTGCTCAATCACATAATCTTGGTTCACAGTCCAAGGCAGTGCAAAGTACGGGGTGCTGCAGTGTTGCAAACACCATTTTGCAATTTCAGTGTTAAATGAAGGTTCCAACTACTTTCTCGGGAGGACATTCAGATCATGCTATCAGGGCAGAAGGGAAGTGTCCTGACCAACAGTACTCCATCAAAGACTAAGTGACCTATATTTCCATTTCATACATCTTGTTATGTTCACTGACTTGACTGCGCAGTCATGGAGACAACTGCATTGGCCGTTTAGTTCTTTGCAACATTGTGTGAAGTTTTGAAAACTCAATAGATACCTTCAGGTTCAGCTGTGCATCACATTAGGATAACGATGCACCCGAGATTTGGCTGAGGTCTGCCAGGAGTGTGGAATTTCGGTGTGCATACTTACAGAACTGACATTAACAGTGATCAGATGAATCTACATTACATTATCCAGGCAAGACACTCCGAAAGCTCATGGGATGCAGCAATTTGATCAATTAATGCATTTAATTAAGTCTGCTTGCTGCAGGCCACACCCAATACGGATGACACAACTTAACCAATTACAATTCTCATTTAGTACAGTTGGAGTTCAACAAAGAACATCGATCTGAGAGGAAAGGATAGCCTCTGTGCAGCTCAACAGAGCCATTGTGGTAGGAAAACTTGCAAATTCCAGACTCAACCTGAATGCAAGCTTGGACATTGGCAAGCTCAATCTACTCCCACTGAACTGAAGAAAACAAAGGGCATGGCTCTGGGTGATCTTGCATTTAGACATTGTGGCAATTCCTTTATGAATAAGGCCACGTTGGTCAAATATTGCTGCAATGTGCAGACAAGATGAGCCTTTAGAACTCTGTAGAAGACTTTATTGATGATCATTCAATCTGATGGATGGGGAGAAGTAAACCAATCCCGAAAGCATATGTGCACAACACATTTGGCAAGGGGATCATTATTAGCTCAGTTTTCTTTTACTCTGCAAATATGGGCAGAGAATAAAAGTTTTCACTTCCCCATTTAGCAAGCTGCTTTCTTCACTTCCTTGAATCAACCGTAACCACTGGCAACTCACAAGCAAAGCATGTGCAACTAAGTTATCTCTAGACACCAACTCTTGGACAGACAGCTTACCGCAATCAACACACAGTTGTCTCTTGTCTATGTTAGCTGCCTCGTAAAAATTCACTCACATTATTGTGGGAGAATAGTTACTGACAAAAAGCATGTATCACCCGAGTCGAAGCAATATTAAGAGACATATGGAGCTCAACATGGCTCCATCAAGCCTGCCCCCAACAAGACTTGGTGGAACCACGTACATACTTATGCCATGCCCTGAGCAAGCAATATTCACGGACAGCCAGAAGTGGCCAAAAACAGGTTGTGAAAACACTGAAATTCCTCTCCAATAATCCAAACTAGTTCAGCATAACTCGACACAATTGAACCCAATTCTCTTCATCAGAGTAATAAGGAAATTTATTTTCCATACCAGAAATGAACTGTCCGCACACACCTTCCCTGTTCCTCTTTCAAAGACTACACGAGTTACAACTTGTTCCAGAGGACAGAGATTCCTGTGAGAAGTCAATTCTGATATTAATCCCAACTCAGCAAAGAATTTAGTTTTATTTCTCACGGGTTCCATTATCTCCTCAAATGATTTGGACAGGAGCCCAAACACCTCATCATTTCAAAACTACCATCAGGTCTTCTCAAAGTCTGTATTTCTTCAAGCTGAAGGCCTAATGTTTAGAGTCTACGTTTTAACGAAGAGCCTTGAAGCTAGGAAATAATCTTGCCAATCATCTCTGCATTTAACCACCATACTTGATTTCTCTAACTGCGTGAATATGCCATAGCTTTGTTCAGTCTTACCATAAACGGCTTCATTTTACAATCAATGCTTCAAAAATTTAAATCAAAAAACCAATTTGATTTTCTCATAGCCATCATACCACTTCTAAACCAGGGCATGTACCCATGTGACCAATTTCTGCCCTTGGCTTCCTTTCTCCATCCATTGCTCTTTGTATAAACTGTAGTCCTGAGTTCTCCAGATACTGTTTGAAAAGGTGGCTCCACTCTGCTGGGACACATAAAATAGCCAGCAACTGAGCGATGTGATGACATGTACTCTCTACTCACATTTTCATTCCAGCTACTCAGTAAAGAAGTATGCTTTGCATGTCTTCAATGACATGATCAACAATTGTCCTATTGTGGTGCCTTCTGCAACACCAGTCCTCATCAGCTCTGATTCAGATTGTTCCCTCCAACGTCAACTCTCTGACAAAGCAGCTTCAAACAATCCAGGAAAACAGTTTATAAAACAACAGCCACTTTCCTCAGCATTCTTGTAGATCAAGGTATATGACATCATCAGCTCGGTACTAGCCAATGGTTCATTCCTGTTTGAGTGGGGGGCAGTGGCAGTGAGAGTGAGGGTAGGTGGGGGGAGAAGAGTCAGAGAGGGGGGGGAGCGAGAGAGGGGGCAGGAGATGGGGGCGGCTGAGGGGAGGAGGCAGCAAGGAATAAGTGGGGAGTAAGGGACATATAAAGCTAGAGGACATGGCAGCATTCAAGGCTACAATTTGGACAACAAAACCCAGAACAGGACAGGAAGGAACAGTGTGTACCAAACTGCAGCAAAAAAAAAGGTCGAGGGGGAAGCAAATCATTAAATGACAAAACTAATGGCTGTTTACATGAATGCGTTTGTCTTTAGAACGAGGTGAATGAATTAAAAATGCACAAGTACAAGTTAATCGGTACGATCACATCATCAGAGGCATGGTTACAACAAAATCAAAATCAATGAGCAAAATACTCAGAGGTATGTACTTTTCCGAAGGACAGGCAGGAAGGAAAGGGTGGTGAGGCAGCTTTGAGAGAACAGGATGGAGTAATTTAACAACAAGAAATGATCTTGGATCGGAGGATGCAAAATCCACATTGGTGACGTTGAGAACTAAAATGGGGATTATTACACTGGTTAGAGTGGTCTGTACGTTTCTAAACAGTTGCAGTGTGGTGGTTCAGTGAAGAAATCGGGAGATAATGAGGACATTTAAAATAGCAGGGCATGAGTAACGTAGCCGGAGGTAGTCCGAACAGCAGAGTTGACTACAAGGAATAATTCATTGTATATTTGGGACAGTTTCATAAAATACGGATGCAACGGGAACCTCACTGCACAACAAGAAAGAAATCTCTTCGCAAGACTAAAACTGGTGTGAACAGGCTTTAAATTAATTGATTCATCTCACTGAAACATCATCACACTGTAATCACAAGAGTCGGCATACAACAGAAATATATGCTTGTCAAGTTTGTCCAAAATCTGGCTGCTCTAATTCTGGAAGAAACCACACAAAAATATCACTTTGAAAATTGTACAATCATAAAACACCCATAGCTTTGGTATAGTTCGGTTGCAAATGATCAAAGGGGCAGAAATCGGCAATAAGCGCACTGCTGTCTTTTTTGGGCAATACAAATTCTTGATATTTTACACAGCAACACACATTTGGGTTTACAATTGATTTCCATTTTCCTGACATTGAAGATTGGTTCTTAACATTAACTCCACTGTATGGTAACAAGAACAATTACAGAATGGCTGGCAAATAAGATTCAGAAAGCTAAGGTTAATCCTCAATTGAAAGAGTCAGTTTATAACAGACAGATTTAACATGTTTAATCATGAATTTACATGGACCCTGCAACAGGATAAGCTGTCACCTTTTAAACAGTGCCTCAGATCATTGCTTTCAGCCCTCAATTTACAAGACATCAAAATTCATTAGCACTCAGGCGACTGCTCTACAGTCTCATCAACACCTCGTCAACAGATTGCACACTAGTAATCTTTTCCAGTTACTCTATGGTCAAGGCAATCGGGAAAATGAGCTGAATTACAACACTGGGGCCTGTCAAAGGAGTGTCTGGACCATCGTCACGAGCAAAATTTTGACCCCGCCCACTGTAAACTCTGTCTCTTTGCTGACTAATGGCAGTTTTACAAACACAACAGCAAGTAAGCCTTGCAAAACTAACAAGCTGACCACCTCAGGGTGAACCGCAGAACCGAGGCGTTTCAGGTTAAAATATCACCATGGCAAACAACCTTGAAAATTTGCCAGGCAAGCAAAACCAAAAAGAGTAACTATCAACTCTGCTAAAACCCAAACAGTAAGTGCATATCATGCAGGGGAGGAACACTGTCATTTTCATGCTCCCACTGAGCTC